GCTCTGCCTTTGTTTCAGAAGCATCCTGGCTTTGGGAGCCCATTGCCTCCAGCATCTGGATCTCATTTGTGGCCATTTGGAGAGCATGAAGGATGCTGGGCTTTTTAATTCCCTTTTAACCCCTTCCTCACCTGGGAAGCTCAGCCCAGCTTGGCAGGGGAGGGCTGTGGGAAACTGGAGCTTTCCAGGCAGCTCTCTGCCCTTTCCATCCCTGTTCCTGGAGAGGTGGAGAGGAGAACAGCCAGGCTGGGTGCTCACCCTGGGGCTGGCACATCCCTGTCTCCATGCAGGGTGCCAAGTGTTGGCCCCCCCCAGCCTGTACAGCTGCAGGATGCAATGCATTAAACCCTCCAGTGTGACAAACGGGGGGCTTGGGGTCATCTGGGGGGTGCAGGGTCTGGCTGGCCTCAGGGGGCAGGGTGGGGGGCACCCGCTCCCTCCAGCCAAGGAGAAAATACTAATCCTTTTATTTTTCTATTATTACTTATTCATCTGGGCTGCAGAGGCCCTAATGGAAACCAGATGGAGGAAAACAGACACAGCCTCAAGCGGCTGGGACAAATTACCCCAGAGAAAGAGAAAAAAAAAAAATAGAGAGAGAAAGAGAAAAAAAAAATCCAGCAGAGTTTGAGTCATTTGGGGGAATTATTGCTTGGAGGTGCCCCCCAAAAACCCCTTCTCCCACCGTGGAGCTTGTCCCGTCCTGCAAAGGGCCTGGGTTGGTGCCACGGTTCCATCAGACATTTCTGGGCTCGAGTGCAGGGAAATCCCATCAGGTTTGGGGCTGTTCCTCATCCCCAGGCCCACCTGGTGGTGGGGAAACAAACATCTCAGGGAAAAATTAGGACTTAGAGGGGGAAAAAAAAGGACAAGTCTGGAAAAAAACATAGGCCCCATTTCCCGGTGTTTGCTCAGCTTTGTGGAAACTTTCCTCCTGATGGGAAGTTGTGGAAAAGCTGTGTTGGTGCCAGAAGGAGTGTATCCGTGTTTTCTCCTCAGCATGGATATGTGTGCAGGGTCAGGACAGTGAGGGGGATGGGGATGCAGATGCAGGAAAGGATGGGGTATGCCAGGGATGCAGGGAAGGACCGTGCCAGGAATACAGGCAGGGATGGTGCCAGGGATACAGGCAGGAACACAGACACAGGTGGGAATGATGCTGGGAATGCAGATGGGGATGGGGCTGCAGGCAGGGACAGGGCTGACAGAGTTGGGGTTGTTCAGCCTGTAGAAGAGAAGGCTCCAGGGAGACCTCAGAGCACCTTCCAGTGCCTGAAGGGGCTCCAGGAAAGCTGGGGAGGGACTTTTTACAAGGGCCTGGAGCAATGGGATGAGGAGGAATGGCTTTAAACCATAAGAGGGGAGATTTAGGCTACACATTGGGAAGAAATTATTTGCTGTGAGGGTGGTGAGACGCTGAAACAGGCTGCCCAGGGAAGCTGTGGCTGCCCCATCCCTGGAAGTGTTGAAGGGCAGGTTGGATGGGGCTTGGAGCAACCTGGGCTGGTGGGAGGTGTCCCTGCCCATGGCAGGGGGTTGGAACTGGATGACCTTTAAGGTCCCTTCCAACCCAAACCAGTCTGGGATTCTATGGGCCCTGGGACACTGGTCATCCCCTGCCATTGAGGCTGGATCCTGCTTTGCTGATTGACAAGGAAAGCCTGGAAGGCTGGAGAAGCCTTGCCCAGAGATGGGCATGGCCACGAAAAGGAAAACTAAAGGTGTTTTTTCAAAATGTCCCATACATCCAGACAGTTCCTCTAAAGAAACTGCTGGTTTATGGTGTGGGATGCTGCTCGGTCTTGAGGTCTCTTGGGAGAAGAGAGCAGAGAAGGGCAAACTGGAGCATGTGGATCCAGTGTCTGCAGGGTTACGATGTGCCTTGGACAGGAAGGGATGTACTCATGGTGCTGGAGCTGCTGAGGTGGATGCCTTAGGACCAGAGGGGGGATTCCCTGGCAGTCTGTCCCTCATTGCTGGCAATCTCTGCTGCCCAGTCCTTCATGCACCAGCCCTGGATTGCTGGGGCCAAGGCCCCAGTTTTATTTAGCCCAGACAATGTGCTCTTGCAGGGTTCAATTAATCTCCCAACAGTTGTAGCAGATTAATCATGCAGATTAGATGAGTGTTTACCAGCCGTGCCTGGCGGGAGTGTGCGGGGGGCAGCAGAAACCCCAGGGCTGGGGGACAGCCATGCCAGCCACTTCCTTCTTTGGCTGGTGCTGGCGTGGGCTGGGGGACACTGATGGACCATCACAGCTGTGGTCACCTGTCACTGCACTGGGGCTGTGCCACCGCCTGGAGGGGCTGGCCCTGGCACCCTGCCCCTGGGGATGCCACTGCTGGGTGGTGGTTGGGGTGACTGGCACAGGGCAGTGGGAGAGTGGTGGTGATGCCCGTGGGGAGCCCAGTGCCAGGATGGGAAACCACGGTGTGCAGGATTTGGTGCCTCATCATGCTCCCAGGAGCCGCAGGGGGATGGGCACTGATGGGTGCTCTGCTCCTGCCATCACTGCTGCCACCAGGCAGATGCCCAGGCCATCCTGAGGTCCCTGACCCTCCTTGGGACACCCTGCTCACCCCCCGTGCCCTCTCCCTGCAGATAACGCGGAGACGCGGGCTGCCACCATGCCCGACTCGCCGGCCGACGTCAAGACACAGCCCAGGTCCACGCCGCCCAACATGCCCCCGCCGCCGCCCGCCGTCACCCAGGGAGCCACGCGCCACCCCTCCTTCACACCAAGCACCAGTGAGTACCAGGCGCCGGTGGGGATGGAGATGGAACCACAGACAGGGAAGCTGCTTGGCTCCCCTTTGCCACTGGGTCACGCGCTGCACCCAGGGCCAGCGGTGTCCTCAGTCCCCTGCGCGGTGGCGGCTGCACCAAGGGGCGTCGTTACCTGTCCTTGTGCTGCAGAAGGGCTTTGGGCTGCACACCCTGAGCCCCAGGTCGTGTGTCTGCCCGTGGAGAGCACCACGGGCATCACCAGCAGTGCTCTGAAGGTGTCTGGGGATAGCGATGTCCTGGTTTCCAGTCACACAGTCACTGAAAGGTGGCACAGAGCAGCGTGTGGCCCCAGGCACTGTCACCTACAGAGACCCAGCTGGAGAATTCTGTGTTCTGGGGGAGTCTCTGTGGGTCAGAGCTGGTCCTGTCAGGGGTCCTGTATACCTGGGGGCTCTTCTGCCTGTCCGCGTGTGGCACCCAGGGATGTCAAGTCTGGCTGCAGTAGCAGGGATGTCCTTGCCCTGCTCAGGCCACGGTGTGGTTGCTTCAGAAGACTCAGCGAGGTCTGAAGGTCCAAGTCCTTGGTCTCTGTAGCATTGTTGCTCTGAGTATCCTTGAGGTGCTGGATGCACCTGTGGTTGATGGGCTTGTTGCACGAGCATTCAGTCCCTGTGCTGGTGTCACTGTCCTGGCACAGGGTTGGACCAGGCATGTGCAGGATCAGGGTGGGCAGGAGCCAAGGCCGGTTTGCACATGAGGCACAGTGGTCATGCCAAGTGGTTGCCCCAGCTCTGCCAAGGTGTTTTCCAGGCAGGGGGTTTGCTTGTAGCTGCTTCTCGCTTAGAAACCCCAGCTGGCAAGAAGGCACCCCTAGAAAAATGCCCTGAGAGCTGCTGCTGGCAGCCACAACCCTGCTGCCCTCTAATTAGAAGTCCCCTTGCTTTCTCCCACGCTCGCAGGGACTTTGCTCTTTAACCTGAGGCCCGTGGCAGGCACGGGAGCCCTGGGCTGTGCTCGGCGTGGGAGGCAGGGGCAGCCTCTCTGTGCCACAGCGTTTTGGTTGTTCTCAGTCTCAGGGAGATGTCGCAAACTGCCCCGGCGCTGGGGCTCCCCGGATTGCAGCGTCAGGCAGTGGAGCACCCCCTGAGCCCTCCCTCTGGCTGCAGCGGGATGCAGGGCCCCAGCTCCATCCCCTGGGGCACACGTGGCCCCGAGGAGCGTTTGCCCGCAGGGACCCCCAGCCGAGAGCTGCCCCCTCTGCTCTCTCATCATAGCGTGTTTTATTTTGCTTGCAGATCGAGACGCTGGCCCTCCGACGTTTCTGCCTCGCGGCCGTTTTCATGGTTGCTTGAAATGGTCGATGGTCTGTCTTTGTAAGTAAAATGAAGCATCCGCTCTCATGAGAGACCCGAGCAGCAGCCGCAGCCCCCCTGACCCCCGCCCAGGGGTCAGGGTCCCCATGCCAGCCCCTCTCCCTGCCCTGGCGGGTCACGGGAACCCCGTCCCGGCTGAGGGACACGTGCGGCGTCTAACTTAGTAACGCACCTGTCGAGGGGAATAAAAGCAGTTGTGGCCGCCGGGTTATTTTCAGCATCTCTTTAGCCAGGGGCTGATCCTGCCCGGCTGGAGAGCGAGCGGGAGCCCGGCAGGGCAGGCAGGGCAGGCAGGGCGGCACAGGCAGCGCAAGGTTGGTGCGATCCCAGGAGCCGGGGGCAGGCGCGGTGCATGCCCGGGTGGTTGGGAACTGGGGAGCTGTGTGCTGGTGCGGTCTGCTCGGCGTGGAGGGATTGGTGTGGGAGTGAGGGAACGCACCACGCTGTGGGCTGGCACCCCTGGATGTCCCCCTGCCGTGTGCCCTGGTGTGGGGTGCTCTGGGCAGCTCCCGGGCAGCGAGGGCAGAGGCGCCGACAGGCTGCAAGCCAGGCTGGGCTCTGTGGGAAATGGCTC